AAAGTATAGTAAAAACTGGAAATTCCTATATATGTTACTACCAACCTATTTAGTTTAAGCTGGTCATAAAAAAATTTGGTAGCATTGTTCAGGTCAGCTTGGTTTTTGGGGACATAAACTGAAACTTCCTAATGTTTAATATTATAATTGAAATACATCGACATATAATCTCCCTTGTTGCAACTTGCAGTTCTTTGATTTTTAAGTTTATTTTTCTTTCTGATTTAAGTAGAAAATTGTGGATTAATACACTGCGAGCAATAATTCAGAACTAAAATGAGAATGTTCTGTGTTTGCACTAAATCGAAAGTAAGACTATACATCACTTAAACATAGTATATATTCGTGGTAAAAGTTTATATAAAATGTCACTTACTATATTCATCCGTTAAATATTTCCATATAGAAAATTCAAATACCATTCAATTTTTTATGCGTTTAATTTTCTGTCACACGTGATGCACTTGACAAGGATATACACATACATATTAGGGAGAATATAATACTAGGCAAATCAGTCAAAAGTCTTTGCCTTCAAATTAAATATTGCAAAATCAAACTAATTAACCAAAATTTGGGACGTATAACCCTGAAGCTGATTGGCAGGTTTGAAATACAAAATTGTAGACAACGTACCATATGGTAAATATTTTATTATTATTATTTATTATATATAATTAGCTTGTTACTGGGAGCAACATGCATAGAGCTTTGAATATGACTACAACTGACAAAAAATTATAATGGAGAATGACGTTTTTATCTTATTTTCTTTGATCTTTCTCTACATTGTCAATTTGTCATAGTAATGGCCTATTGACTTTTCATATCGTTAACTTATTCAAGTTGAGTGCTTGACAACACTAACTTTTCCAAAATTTTAATTGAGACTATCTAATAGAAACACTTGATCACATGTCAGATTATTTTTAATTGAGCTATACTATAATTTAAATATATAAATGAAACTTAATGATAAAGTTAAGAGACTATCGATGTATTCGATCACTAGACGACAAACTGTAGGAGAGCCATGCAATTTCTTAATTTTATTGTGCCTTTAAGGATTACTGGTCCAAAACCCAACTAAACCTAACGAAAGATACCAAAGTCAAGTTCGCAACTACTCATAATCACGTGTGACTTTAATATTCCCATGTTATTTTCATGGTTGGGGGGGGGGGGGGGATGTCCCTGCCCCCTATATATCAATGGTTGGTGGGATGGAGGTGGGTGGGGGGGGGGGTTGTTTTGGTTTTCCATTAGTACGTATCTGCTTTTCGTATTGAAGCCCGACTAATTTGAAATCACACTGCGTAAAATCTCATTCAGAAGGAAATAATCTCTATCAAGAATTTTTTTTATACTCAAGACTCGAATCCAAAAATTGTGATTAAAAAAGGAACAATTTCATCCGCCACATCACATCCTTTAACGTTAGGATGGATGGCCTATATATATATTCCATGGTGGAGGAATAAAGAGTGGTGGGGGGCACATCCCTACTTCTGATTTGGTATATTGACTTTTGACCAATTTGGGAAATTGGCCAGACATACTACATTTTCTTTTCTCACATGGCTAGCTAGATCAAATTAGACCAATCAATTAAACTTTTCATTATGAGAGCTTATTTCTTGATTTTCATTAAAAAAAAAAGAAGATATAATAAAGTATATATCATTGAAAAGTTGGGGGCATTGTGATTTGAAATCTATCCTAGTTCTAGAGATAGAAAAAAATAAATTCAACTAAAAAGCGTGAAGCTCTAATATATATATATAATGTGCTAGAGTTTGAACTTAAGTACAAGATCATCGATTTCATTGAGTTCCCAATTAAAAAACTACAAAACCATGATATAATAATCCTTGCGTTATAAAACTACAAACGCCACTATAATTTCCTTGAATTTTTAGACAAGCTGTACGTTGCTATTGTCAACTTTGACATCGTATAAAAAAGACATGGAAAATGCCTTCTGGTTTCTAAGTAGCCACAAGAACATTAATATTAAAATTATAATCATCTTTTCTTTCTTTTTTTCATTAGAAAGATTCAAACGTTGACTAAACATTAGAAGAGATTTTCTTTTTATTTTCATAACTCAATTTTGATATACAAATTTAATATCAGTTGCTTCAATCATAAGTTGTTGCATCACATGTAGTGATGGAAATTATTAAATACTTTTGCATTGTATCATATTCCAAATCATTTTCGTAACTCTCCTTTTTTATTACAACCTCTGTCTCAAAATAAGTGTCATCTTACATGTATCACATTCATTAAGAAATTAATAAGTACAATGTGCAGTTTACTAAAATACATGAAATATAAGAATACAAATGGAAAACATACTAATTTTTGTGTTGAATTCCTAAGATAACACTTATTTTGGAACAAATTATTTATTAAGATGACATTTTTTGGGGACGGAGGGAGTAATTTAAATGTTTAACAAATACAGTGAGTTCATTGCTTCTTTGTTTTTCCGTTACAGTTTGAAAGAATTTAGTAATTTAGGTTTGATGAAGCCAAAAACGGATAAGAAGAAGCTAAGTTTTCCAAATTTAGTTTAGGTATTTTTCTCCAACTATATATGTCATACAAGTGGCTAAACATAGTTAAGTTTTAAGAGGGTGACTAATTTTTAATTAGCGATGTAAAAAGTAGCTACATTTGTCATTTTTTTCTACCCAAATTTAATGAATTCAACCTGACTATTTGATATCTTTACTTATTTTATATTTTTTCTGAAACTTTTTATAAGTATACAAAGTACTCCAACCAGTTATTATTATTATTAATATACTTGAAACTAGTCAAAAATATTGAATTAGGATGAACTTATCGTCGTTTTATAAGTACCCTCCACTCCTATACACATTTCGCATCGAAAATATTGAATTAGGATGAACCTATCGCCACATAACCGCATCCGCTAGGCATCTTAATTAAGTTTATGACTTATATATATATGTTTTGCATATATACAATCAGTGGCGGAGCCACCAGGGTTCATCCGAACCCCATTCGACGGAAAATTATATAATATATACATGGTTAAAATAATTTTTTAAGTATATATAGTAGATGTCGAACTCCCTTCGATTATCTCATGTGTCTATTTTTTCAGATTTTTAATTCTCTTATTAAAAATCTTGGCTCTGCCACTGCCTACAATAGTAGTATTTCAAAAAATGGGAGGAAGAGATTTGTTACTTCTATGTCACGTCTATCAAACTCTATAAATACGTGGCCTTTTACATCCTTCATCTTCTCTTTCATTTCCTTTATCACTCCAAATATAATTAATTAATCTCCTTCTTAATTTTTTCCGTTACATCTCTGCCAATTCTTAGGGTTTTCTCATTTAATTTCTGGGTAAATTCATTTTTATTTTATCTCTTTTAAATCTGCATGTTTTTCGTTCACTTTGTATCTAACTTTTTGTTTTTGTTTTTGTATAACTCTTCTTGTATCTAACAGTTCCTTTTGGGCTTCGAATTAGAAGATCGACATTGGATTTTAGATATTCACATATTTTTTAGCTCTTTCAACCAGGTATTTATTCACATTTTAGCTACTATACTTATATTTCGTTTTTTTTTCACAATTTAAATGACATTTTCTCATACAACTATTTTGATTTTTTTTTTCTGTGTTTTTTGAAATTCTTGCGCGAACTCATCTTGATCATTATTAATAATTTGTTCCTAATTGTGGATGCGTACGCAAATTTGCAAGTTTTTTTGCCAAATTTTGCGAAATACCAATCGATCAAAGGTTTACCCCTGTTTTTTGTTGTTGACATTTTTGTGCCTGGTACTAGTAAAACCGGGCTTATAGTGATATTTGACAGCAGAAAATCCTTAAATCTATTGTTAGCAATGGCGGATCCAGGATTTTCACTCTGGGGTTCGGAAACTAAAAATATAAATGTGTGAACTAGAGTGCACACCCAAACAGGAATTGAACCTGCAAACTGGGGATAGCATTTGCGACCCAAGTTGCACAGTCCAGTACCACTGAGCTATCTCTCTCTTCTTTGATTGAGGTGGCTCGAAATTAGTATTATATACCAAAATATTGAAAATTTAAGCTATATATACGGTGTAATTTTTTGTCAAGGGGGTTTAGGTGAACCCCTAGCACCCACGTAGGTCCGACCCTGTTTGTTAGATGGATGTAAATATTTAATAGAAGAAGTACTAGTTAATGTTTATTGTACAAGTTTATATATAATTACTTTATGTAAGTGACGTGATCGTGTAATATTCTATATTCAGAATTCATGTTTTGCCTATGCCACCATCCTTTATATGCGAATTGTACATTTCCTTTAATATTGTTTCAAGTCAACTGCAACATTTTATAATTTTTGTTGTAATAGACAACAATTAATCATTACAGTTGAATACTGTTCATATCTTTGCCCTGCTATTTTTTCCAAATTTTCAAGTTTGTAATGGTATAAATGTGGTTATAGAGAGCTTTAACTCGATAAAGTTTCGATTATGTAAAGTTGTCTGTTTTGTAAGTGATCTCTAAGGTGAAAAGGTTTCAAATGCATCTAATCTTTGTTTCATATATTGTATCATAATCCATAAAACTGGACGATTGGTAGCTATAACTACTGTTTATGATTTACCGAAAATTTTCACACTTCGTAAAAAAACATGTCTGTAAGACAGCAAACATCCTGAAGGACATGGATTGTGAGAGTTGTGCAGAGTAAGATGTCATCTCTGTTTATTTTTCTTCTGGTCTACCAACAAAACGCCTACCGATTATAAGCACTAAAATTAATCCTGGTTCCTTATTGACTCAAGGAATATTGAGTACACTTTCTATACTATGTTAATATTACAAGATTCATTTTTCTTTTAATGCTCCATGTTGTGTGTGACCATACCATTGTTTAGTTAATATTCTTGCCTCCACTGATTTTTTTGGATATAAGTAACCCATGACATGTATACGTTGTTTTCTTCTCTCCAGGTAGGAAGCACAGAGTCTTATAGCTAATATTAAAATTGTAAGTCAAGCATGTTGTGTTGCTTAAACTGGAATTTGGCTCCGGAAATGAGGTATTTTTGTGCTGATAGATTCATATAATTGGCTAAATTATGCCAGTAATTTGACAGTCATGCAAGTTTTTGATTGACCAGGTTTCAGGAAGCTGGTGCTTGATGGGCAGTAAACTCAGGAGTAGTAATAAGAGAACACTAAAGAGGTGGTTTTTCATCGACAAAAGGGTGGGATAAAAAGATTAGGTACTACAATTCAACTAGTAAAATCAGTCAAATTCTTAGAGATTCAATCGACTTGAATTCAGCGAAAGCTTCTTCTGCTCTTACGGATCCTTTGTTGATAATTAATTAAGCAAGTCTAGGTTGTGGATTTATTCTAACTGATTGACTTATTCACAATCAATGCTTTCATTCTCCACTAGTGTTCTAATGATTCCGAGAAAGAAGCCAGGGAGGCTAGATGACGTTCGTTCTAATGGTTGGCTTGATGCAATGAAGTCTTCGTCACCTCCTAGTAAGAAGGTTCAGAAGGAAGCAGGCGTTGAGGATTTCTCTGATGATGCTAAATGTGGTTACTCTTCTTGGATGGTATGTTCAATATCTCATTGTTTCCCTTAGTTTCACACACTTGTCTATATTTTCGTAGCCAGAGTGAATATCAGATACATTATAATCAAGTCTCTCTCTTCATGTTATTTGTGTGCAGTTCAAGTATCCATCAGCACTAAACTCCTTTCAGCAAATTGTAAACCATGCAAAGAATAAAAAGATTGTTATCTTTTTAGACTACGATGGGACTCTTTCTCCAATTGTAGATGATCCTGACCGTGCTTTTATCTCCGCTGATGTAAGTACTCTGATTTTTCCTTATTTTAAGAAAGAAGCTTACCTGAAGATGTTCACACAATGAAAAGAAATTACAAATTCTGCAGATGCGTTCTGCTGTCAGGGATGTTGCGAAGCATTTCCCAACAGCCATCATCAGTGGAAGAAGCCGTGATAAGGTAAAGATTTTCTCATTAGCATGTAATTCAGGCATCGTTTGTGTTTACACCATCAACTTTCTTGACCTCTTCTAGGTTGCAAATATTGTGATTTACGTTCGTCCTGTTTCAGGTTTATCAGTTGGTAGGACTAACCGAACTCTATTATGCTGGTAGTCATGGTATGGACATCATGCTTCCAATTAGAAATGAGTTGTGCACTAATGATTCACTTATTAAATCTACTGACCAGCAGGTATTACAGTTTATAAGAGTCGTATTTTCATCAATTGCCTAATAAAGATTGGCATTTCGTCCTTTTTACTCATTTCTAAGGTTCTAATTAATGTTTTGAGCAGGGCAAGGAAGTTAACCTATTCCAGCCTGCTCGTGAATTTTTACCTATGATAGATGAGGTGTTTTACTTGTTTCTCTATATGTTGCATATAAATGGATAAATAGTACTAATTGGCACCAAAAGAGATAAGAATGTTATCAGACTTGAACTAAACGAGCTAGACTACCTTGCAGGTTTTTAGAACCCTCGTCGATAAAACTAAAGAAGTAATAGGTGCAAAAGTTGAGAACCACAAATTTTGTGCCTCTGTACATTACCGTAACGTAGATGAGAATGTGAGTCTCATTTCCTTGCTGTTTCTATTAGTCCCTTAATTCTGAATGTTCATTACCTTTATGAATTATTTTGCAACCATTTGTTTGTGATGATGGTTTTCATTTTAAATGCAGTGTTGGCCTATTCTTGCCCAATGTGTACATGATGTCTTGAAAGAATACCCTCGACTACGACAAACTCATGGGCGGAAGGTATCTCAATTACTTGATTTTGGTAACATAATTACATACATTGTTCTAATTTGTCGAAATCTTGCTCCTTTTTTGCCTGTCGATAGGTTTTAGAGGTCCGTCCTGTAATAGACTGGGACAAAGGAAAAGCAGTTGAGTTTTTGCTTGATTCACTAGGTATGTTACATCAATGATTTGGTCCATGATCTCCTCAACCCTCCTCTCCCCGAAAAAACATATAATAATTGTAGAAAAAGGATTGTTCCAACTTCCATCCATTTGTATAAAATATATGCACAACAATGCAGGTTTTAGAAACAGTCATGATGTGCTCCCTATCTATATTGGCGATGACAGAACAGATGAAGATGCATTCAAGGTACATAACTAATACACAACGAAAGAATCTCATGTTGATATTAATATTAGTAGCATCACTATTTTTTTTGCTGTGAGATTAAAGAGTAATTGTAAATCCAGGTTTTGAGGGGGAGATATCAAGGTTATGGAATTCTTGTTTCGGCTATTCCAAAAGAGAGTAACGCTATCTTTTCTCTCGGGGATACTTCAGAGGTTTGGAATGTGACATTATACCAAATTTTTGTTGTCTATGTTGTTGAAATAATGAAAGTAAAATGTCGTTGATGAGAAATCTAATCAAAATCATATGTATGCAGGTCAAAGAATTCTTAGGTTCTCTCGCGAAAACTATGGAAAATCAAGAAATGTGAAATGCAGGACGGGGGAGGGAACAAAAGGGATGTTACTAATAAGAATTTTGAATAAACTGTGAAGTCATTTCTTTTATCATATTGTTCAAATATTTTTCTTACAAGTGCAAGAATTTTGTTTTCAGTTTTTTTGTAATTTCATTTTCTCGGATTTTCGTGTATTCTGCTCTGGGTAAGGAGGAGACTGTTGAGAAAAAAAAGCCCTTTTCTCTTTAGTTATTGTGATGGTTAATGTACTTAGATCAAGTGTTTCGAGAAGCTCCATGGGGATGGGTTGTTTGGTCTTCTTATATGAACTTGGGTCTGGGTCGTACTCTCCTTACGAGCTAGCTTGATTATGGGCAGCGGTGGCTCGACAGTGTTAAAAAAAAGATATGTGCCTCAGTCCCCAAATTTAAGGGGCCTCATTTGTAATAATAATTAATGTGTTATAAGTTATTATTTTTTAACAAATATTGAATATTGTTTGTAGAAAAAGTAAACTTTTCATGAAAATTGAATGAATTATTAGAAGAAATTTGACATATTTGAAGTACTATATCTCATGAAAAATAATTTAAAATAAGAATGGTTATATTATCAATTGAAAACTAGAAGAAATCAACTATATAAAAGTTATTAACAATTCAAGTTTAAGGCCCCGTTTGATTTTTGCTTTAGGCCACTAATAAGCTTGTGCCGCCCCTAATTATGGGAAAACATGGTATTGGTCGTACTCAATCCAATTTTGATGTCAATGAAGACCTAATTACTAGTAATATGTTTCAAATCTCTTCTTTTTAAATTATTCTCTTGGAAATATATTTTGAAAATATAGAATGGTAAGCAAATATTTATTTTTTCGTTCTCTTCTATCATTTATATTGCATGCATTTTGCACCCACAAATAATTTTTCATTTTCTCTTCCATCTGCAGATTGTACTCTTAATTATTAACGTAAATAAAAAACACTAATTTTCGACTTGTATAAAAAAAAAATCTTTTTTTTGAATTGTCACTTAGTGCATTTGCTTCTATACAAATTCTCATAAACCAATTCATTTGTAGAAGAAAAAAAACTTTCCCAATATAAATCAAAACATTTTTTTTAAAAAAATGAAGAAAATCGCTACTGGTGCATCGATTTTAATTTTAAAAAATAAATATTTTTTTACGAAATCGCTGTTGGGACAGAGATTTTAATTTTATTTAATGGTGTAAACGGAGTTAATTTTGTACTAAAGATATCGCTTCCTCAAGAGCGATTTTTCCCTTTTGGTTTTAAAAAAAAATTGATATACGATTTATATTTTTTGAAGAAAAAAAATTGCCCTTTTAGCTTCGGACTCGTCTTAATTATGTTGAATTTCTTTATTTTTTATGAGTATCCTCATCGAGCTAAGTTGGTCTCTTGTGGTGATGATGCGAATACAAAATTAAAAGTGATGGTACATCTCTCTAATACGTTTAGGAGATATGATGGACCAATACCTCTCCCTTTCGATCTATGTAGATTTACTTTTTTTGGTCAATTTTAAAATTAAATGAACCTATTTAACATTAGAAAAAAAACATTAATTTTAGGATTTCAAGATTACGCTGCCATTATTTTTTTAAATGCAGACATAGACCCCCACTAATTAGTAAACAATCTGTGGTTTTTTTATTACGTAAAGAAGAATACTTAAATTGTATTTGAACCGCTTAGAAGTCATAATTTTAAATCAGTATTGAATATATGATTTGGGATTTAATTTATTTATTTTAAATTTAAAATTTGACTCATAAATTTATATTGACGTACCAATTTTTTGGGTGAAGTATTATCCAAATGAATCTGTATTTTCAGAGCTAGAAGCTCGAATACGGTTAGATCGAATTGGCAGACACTATAACAACAATAGTTTTTTAGCGGCAGTAAACATGCACATTAATAAAGACTACTAAAACATTTATCGGCATTATTTAATCGTGATTGGATCCAATGTCGTTATGGACTTTAACGACACTTACAAATAGTATTAATTGTCACTAAAAATATATATTTGGCAACAACTAAATTATTATTACTAATTAATTATCGCTAATGATCATTCTTGATATAGTGAAAGCTAAAAGCTCATATACATGTTTGGTCAACTTAGTAACTTTTGCTCAAATAATATATCATTAAAAAATTTCTTAAAAATATTAAATTTAAAATTCAATTATTGCCGTCTGAAATAGCCATAATAATATTCAAAACCCATATAAATAAAATCCTAACTTTGCCTCTTTCTACTTTCTAATATCATAGCAAATTAGTATTATTATTTAGCAATATATGAAGTTTGCTTGTACAACATTTTATTTTATTTGAAATGAGTGAATAAATTAAACTAATTAAGTAGCAGACTCACCAATCATACACAGAGCTATCTGCGCATTATCTTTTTTTTATTTTTTTTTTAGTCCTCCAAGAAAATACGTAACACTTCCACTAGGATGTTTCTTTTTTTAACATAAACAAAATGCAAATATTTGATATGTTCCTTTATGTCCAAATATCTTGAACACAAGGGGTCGTGTTGTTTAATTTTTAGGGATGACTAGCTTGAGCAGAAATTAATAATATATGAATTAGTTAAGAAATTTATAATGAGTTTAAGGATAGTAATACATGAATTGTAATTTAGAAAATTTTAAAAGCGAATTTAGCTTGTTTTTAATTATACAATATGTAATTTTAAGAAAACATCTCAACTTTTTATAAATAAAATAAGTTTGTTAACTATTTAGCCTTGATATGAGGGCTTTTTGTCTTTTGATTTTTTTAATCCATTTAATGCTATTTTACATTTTATGATGTCTAAATAAATACAAATAATTTTATAAGTTAATACAAAAGCTTATGTACAGCCAAATCTCGTTATATTAGTAATGTTTGCCTGAAAACTTCATTTTTAAATATTTGTTTTACTATATGAATATGATTATTATAATAGATAAAATGTTATTATAAAAAAGTAAAATATAACATGAAAAATCGATTCTAATAAAAAATATGTAGATCGTTATAATGAAATATTGTTATAACATGATTGTTATTATAATGAGGTTTGACGATATATTTTGTGATACTACTTTTATATACTTCACATTAAACGAGCACTATTATTAGTCCATTGTACGTATAAGTGTAACATCGTCGATTTTCTTTGTAAAGTAATGGACTTTTTTAACTCACTGTCACGATTTTATGCAGATAAGGTCTCATATATCTAGTTCCTTCATGTTTTATTAATTAGTTGCTTGAATACGTACGTGTAAAGGGTCCACCTAATCCTGTTATTTGATAAGTATTGAGTTTTAGAATGTATATACATTAATCGAAACTCTTTGTAATTTTATATAAAGAGTGATATTTATAGCTAACTAATAAAATTTATTAATAATTTTATTTAGTGATTTATCAATAACTTCGAGACGAATACGATTTATATATCATGACTTTTTGTTGTATCTAAGGGTGTGACCTAGTGATCAATGAAGTGGTTGAGAACTCTGAGGTTTCATATTCAAAACTCAGCATAAACAAGTCGAAGTGCACAAAAGCTGATCTGAACACTACGATCATTGAAAAAATATATGGCTTTTTGTTCTTAAGAAAATTGGGCCGGGGAAAAAGGCAATTGCGTTGAAGGTGGACTATAAAAAGATTGAGTGATGTCATTTGCTTTTTGTTAAAGCCTTAAAGGAATGGTTAATTTACGGGGAAAATAAACATCTTATCCTATTTTCTGTCATATGATTAGCACTAGTGTCTAATAATGCATCAAATTGCATATCACATAAGAAACTTTTAAGTTGATGAATATAGTAATATACTCGTGATGTTTCTATTAATTTTACACCTTATCCTTTTTGTTTGGTGCAAGGACGAGTCATCACAGAAATATCATATTGTGATGCATCTCACTTTTATTTTATCCTACTTGTGAGCAATTGTGCCCAAATAATATATACACTTGCCCTCAATCATGTATGTCATGGCTTGTGAGATAAAGATCACATACTTTTGCGTATGTAATTTGGAGTTGTAATCAACAAATTTGTGATCGAGACAAATAAAAGTTAAGTGTGTGGTGGTCCTAAGTATTTTTTTCGTCTTTAATCGGAGGTTTCAATAGAATTTGAGTTCTAGGGATGAAATTGTATTTGATAAAGAGCGTTTTATATATAATTTATTCTCAAATGAAACTTTATGATGTGAATTTAAATTAGTTGAAAATCCCAAAGCGGAAAAGGGTTGATTTTGATGCACGAGTGTTTCAAAATAATATGAAGAATAATGTCTATATATAAAAAGGTATTGCATATATTAGAAAAATGCATAGACGTATAATGACCCCGTAAAAAGAGAAAGGGGGATTTATTTATTTATTTAAAAAGATGGATTGTCCATAATATTTTTAAGTTTAAATGACATTAGTTTTGATGATATTTACAAATATTTAGAGAATTAAATGTTAGGTCACTGTTAATATGAAATTAGTAGATGTATAATTGACAAACGACTACAAAAGAATAGGATCCTTAATAGGTCGCTAGAACGTATACTGCTTATACTAACAAGTGAAAATTGAGTTATAGAAGTGAAAGAACCAAGTCGTTTTGCAAATGACTTGAGATGTACTGAAGATCAGAAGTTATTTCAAGTGCAAGATTTTTTTTAAAGCAATTGGGTTTAAGAGTTTAACACATGGATCAAGAAATACGAGTTAAATATAAAAATATTTCGATACTGAGCATAAAAAGAAAAGAACTTTGAAATTAGGAGAAATGTGTGAAGCTCGATCAAAACATATAAGGAAATCAAGTCCAAGTAGGATTAATTCTTTAACCATATTCAATGGTATTTGGAGAAAGAAGCCAAGGAAAATTCAGTTATCACCATTTATCTCATACATTGTTTTAAAAGGCGGGGCGTGAGGTGAGGCGTTTTATACAGTACAGGCGAGGTGTAAGCCTCGAGACACGGGGCGTAAGTCCCAAGAATATACGAGGC